CTGTCACAGAAACATGGCTTACAGGAAATGATTGTTTTGCCACGACTGACCTGATTAACACTTTACAAGATTATAATGTTTAATCTTCCAAGAGCTACCAGAGGTGGCAGAGTTGTGGTTATTGCACGCAAAGGACTTCAAATCAAGAAAAATATTTCTTCAGTATTCTTGTCCTTCGAGACCCTTGCTTTGGCCATTACATCTGGAAATAAACAATTTCGTCTGCTGACAATTTATCGACCAAGAGCAACAAAGCAAAACAAACTTTCCACACCGCAATTCTTTTCTGAGTTTTCGAAATTTCTTGATGAACTTATCGCTACGCCCAACAAGCTCATCCTGGCCGGCAATTTCAATATTCATGTAGATAATCCCACAAACTCTGAGGAAGGAATTTCCTCAATTTGCTTGATTTGGCTGGTCTTCAGCAACACGTTGAAGGTCCAACTCACCATCATGGTCACACTCTTGATCTTATCATCACTTGCTGCGCTGATAACCTTATTTCAGAGTTGAAAATTCTCCCTGAACTTCCCTCTGATCCCAAACGCCTGCTTTGCAACATTGATCTTCCTTGCCCTGCTCCAACCCGCAAGAGTGAAGAGTGTAACATATCGAAAATTTCGGAATGTTGACATCAAAAAATTCAGTGAGGACATTGCCACCTCATCACTCAATAACCTTGCGGGAGGTGATCTTCACATCATGATTGATGAGTACAATGAGATACTGTGCTCTCTTCTCAACAAACATGCTCCATTACAGTGAAGAGAAATAATTTTGAGGCCACATGCTCCTTGGTTCAGTGATGAGCTAAGAGAACTTAAACAGGAGAAAAGGCAACTTGAGAGAAAATATGTAAATACCAACCTGACAGTTCACTCACAAATGTATCAAATGTTACAAATGTATCAAACGATATGCTCAGAATACACTAAACACATCAAAGCTGCTAAATCTGACCATTTCAGGAAGAAAGTTGAGGATGCAAGTCACGATCAGCTGCTCAAGCTTGTTGACAAATTTCTTAATGTAAAAAAGGCTCCAGTCTTGCCCAAACACAAATCAAACAAAGAACTCGCTGAGAGATTTAGTGAACATTTTCAGATGAAAATCGCCAGCATTCAATGTGAATTATCCACTAGTTCATTATCAACATCAATAATTGAAGATCATGAAACTTGTCCTGTGCGTCCACTGTCATGCTTCCAGCCTATGTCATCAAACGTGATAAAACGCTTTATCATGTCATCAAACACGAAATCTTGCCAACTTGATTCTGTCCCAACCTGGATTTTAAAACGCTGCATTAATCAACTGCTACCAGCACTGAGTCAGCACTACTTAAAGTGTTGAAAGTGATATCAATACTGCCATTGATAATCAACATGAATGTGTCCTAGTCCTCTTGGACTTATCAGCGGCTTTCGATACAATCGACCACAAAAATACTAATCAACCAATTGGAGAATAAATATGGGATTTCTGGCCTTGCCCTTGAATGGCTAAAGTCATACCTTCAAGAATGACCTCAATGTGTTGTAGTTAATGAAACTTGCTCCGATCCAGAATGTAACTCTTTTGGCCTTGCCCAAGGTTCTGTACTCAGGCCCTTATTGTTTTCATTGTATTATGGTCCTCTTGAAGTTGTTATAAGAGCTCATGGGATAGATGCGGTGATATAAGCTGATGATTCTCAGCTCTATATCATAATAAAGCGGAGCAATCGTCATGTTGCCTTAGAACAGCTTGAACTCTGCATTGATGATGCTCTATGTTGGAACACGCAGAATGGTCTTAAATGCAACCCAACCAAGACTGAAGTCATTCACTTCTACTCTCTCTTCACACCCAGTGACAGCATTTTTCACCTCATAGTTGGCACTGCTATTATGGAACCAGTAAATGAAGTGAGAAATCTCGGCATCACTCTAGACTCTACCCTCACTCTTCGCACCCACATTAACATTATATGTTGCTCCAGCTCATTATCTTTACATGAACATAGTAAAATCAGGAAATTTTTATATCAGAAAGACACCGAAAGGGTCCTTCATGCCTTTATTTCCTCTAAACTGGATTACTGCTTGTTTTATGGCTTGCCCTCTTCTGAAATACAGAAACTTCCAAGACTACAAAATTCAGCCGCCCAACTTATTACGCGAGTGAAAAAATTTGAATATATTACTCCAGTCCTCATTAATCTACACTGGCTCCCTATAGAACATCGTGTTATTTTCAAGCTGCTTCTCTATACCTATAAAGCACTTCATGATCTGGCTCCTGATTACTTGGAAAATCTGTTAACTCTCTATACACCTGTCTGCTCTCTCCGTTCCTCAAGGTCTATTAATCTGTCTATCCCAAGATTTAGAACCTCTACCAATGGCGACAGATCCTTTGTGTGTGCATCCCCTATGCTTTGCAACAAACTTCCTGATTTTATAAGATACTACAAAACCTTACATTCCTTTAAAACCAGGCTCGAGACTTACCTTTTTAAATCGCTTATAATTTGCAGTTAATTTTTATCTTATAGTTGTACTTCAAATCTTATGTAAAAGCATTGAGACTCGCGTATAATGTGTTTTAAGAACTGTAATTATTATTATTATTAATTGAAAAGCGCCTGTTGACAACGTGTGGATCAAGATAGTGGCCTAAAAGATAAGTTGTATTTTCCACTGGCTGAGGAACAAAATAAGCGGTAAATATTTTCTCACACACCTCT